CTCCTCTCGATCGGGCGAAAACGGCAACGAGAGGTGAGACGAGGTTGGGGAAATCGTTTTTTGGCCAACGACTCCTCTCGACTCCTGGAACCGATTCTCTAATACAAATTCATGAACGGGCCGCAACCGTTTACCCTCCATTAGAGGGAAGCGCAATCAAAACGAAGCAGCCGTGGACGGAGCCGATGGACCGAGTCTCGGGACCCGACCAGCTGTAAATCAAACTACGAAATTCCTCCGCTCGGGACGCCTTGGAAAGTGTTGAGCAAAATCCTCTCCCTCCCTCCCTCTCTCTCTCTCTCTCTCTCTCTCTCGCTTTTTCGATGCGCAAGGGTGTAATTATGCGTCCGGGGCCCCGAGCCGCGTATGGAGGCCTCCTTCTCTCCCATTTCGTTCCTTCCGTCCTCGTTTCTCGACCGAAATAGGGAAAAAAACGAACGCGTCTCTTCGCTATCGAAGGATAACGAGGCGGCAAATCGGTCCAACGATCCTTCTTTTCGTTTCCTTTCCTTGTCGCGGAGAACTCGCGACGAAACTCGCGACCCCTCTTCCCTTCTCCCCAAGATTTTTCCAATCTTCCGATATTCGAAAGAGAGATTCGAGAGGAGGGGAAACGAAGACTACGCCAGCTCTCGAACGGCCGCCAATTTTTCAATATAGAAACCGACTGCCTTTCTCGCCGCCAGGATTTCGTTCGATTTTTCTTCTTTTCTTTCTTAAGTTAAGCGGCGAGAATTCGATCGTTGAATCGAGACAAGAATTTCGCGCGTTGCTCGTTTCGAAACGAGCGAGGAGGAGATGGGAGATGAGAAAAAGAGGAAAGGGAAAAAATGGGGGCGCGATTGCCCCGTTCCCGAAAGGCCAATTATAATTGCAAATTTTTTTCCACGGGTTGTTATTCGCCTCGTGGCGTTTCTCCGCGGCGATGAAAGTTTCGCCGCGATTCCGCGGTCGCCTTTTTTTTTCTTCTTCCTCTTCCTTTTGCGACGTTGGCTCGCGGGAAGAAGTGTCCCTCGCCTCCGCGGGAGTTCAAAGTAAAACCGTTTAGCATAATTCGAGAGGGGGGAGGACCCTTCCCCCCTCGCCTTTGCTCCCGATAAAAATCGCTTGTTTTTTCTTCCGCTCCGCTGCGCTCCTCTCGGTACGACATCGTCCCGGTGACATCTCGACGAAAAAGGAGGAGGATCGTTAAACGGGGGGAATCCTTCGGGGATTCGTCCTCGTCCCCGGCCCCGTCCTTTCCGGAAAATTGGCGGTAAAATGCGCGTAGCTGAGGTCACCGATTGGTTTATCGGGAGGAGAAAAAGTTTCCTTTTTTTTTTTTTCTTTTTCTTTTTCTTTTTCTTTCTTTTTTTTTTCTCCCCAACGTGAAAGTTCCTCTTTATGGAAAAAGATGGACGTTGTTTTTTTCCGAGGATATTAGAGGATGAAGAGGTGATCGTTGTTGGGCTAATTTCGAGAAGGGGGAAGTCGTGGAGGAGATCGAAGAAGCGACTCGGCGCGGATCGTAAAGAGAGCGGCATGAATGGCGGTCGTTGCGATTCTAATTAGAAGGAATTTGCTCGTTCCGGGGCCGAATTAAGCTAATCGGCCGCGACGAACGAGGGTCTCGTCTCGTCTCGTCTCGGCTCGGCTGGGAACGCGCGCGCGTGCGAGACGCGGAAACGGAGATGGAGCGGGGAGGGAAGAAGCGGGGGACGATCGTCCAAACGTGGAGGAGAAGAAAAGAAAGAAAGAAAGAAAGAAAGAGAGAAAAAAGTGGAGAACAAGGAGCGGGGGTGGTGGACGAGAGGCAAACGCCGACCCTCGCAGCCGAGGAAAAAGTGGAGAGCACGAAATTAGTCGTACTCGCGGCACCGAGTATTAGAGAGAAGTATCCCGAGGGCACGACGTTGGCGTTTCTTCCCCTCCCCACACTCTCTCTCTCTCTCTCTTTCTCTCTCTCTCCCTCTCTCTGGTTTTATTCGATAATTATGCAAATGCCGGAATGATTGTCGGGCAATATGTCCTTGGAATAAAAGTCGGAGTCGGAGCAATTCGGTTATCTTTATGATTCTGAAACGCGAAACGGGCCGAGCTTTGGGGTGAAAAGCCGAGAGGGGGATGAAGGGGAGGGAGAGAAGAAAGGGCAGGGAGATACCTCGTCCTCGTCTTGCGAACAAGCGCGGAGAGAAACGCGCTTAATTTGCATGGAAACGCGCCTTTCCTCCCTTTTCTCCTCCACGGTTAATCGTGGAACTCGTCGGATTCTCGTTTCGATCGAGCCCAGGTTCCGATCGTACGTACTTACTCACGAAGGGACGTTGAAAAGGCTAGATTTTTTTCTCCCTCCCTCCCTCCCTCCTCTCTCCACGCGGTAACGTGACTACGCGTAAAGCGAAATACGCGTGCATAGATCGAAGGCGAGTCGTGGCCAGGGCCTATTAAGACGTTCGCGCGGCGATTTAATTAAGTGGCCACGACTCGACGACTCCGACAGTCTCCTGGCGGAGACCGCGAGACCATAAGCCGGATCGTCGTTATTTATTATTAAAATATATTCCCTGTCGAAAGGGTGGAGCCTGCCTCGACCAATGGGCACCCGTCGCGTGCCTCGAGTCGTTAGGGTGCTTGGAAATTGATAAGAATGCATCGTCGCACGCTCCCGTAGTTGCCTGCCTTACAGTAGTTGCACCCTTTAATCTGAACGCGGCGGGACCAAACCCCGACGAATCTATCGCCTGGAATCCGGTAATTGTAACGTGAACGCCGTCCTCGCCCCCACCCCCTTCTTCCACCTTTTCCTTTCGCCTCACCGTCCCCCTCCCCCCTCGCCTCTCATTTTTCTATGCAAGTAAGTATTCACTTACTACTTACCATGCCTCGCTAAATTCTTTTTCCATTCTTTTTCCATTCCCTGCTTCTCCTCCTCCTCCCTCTTGTTTTCTCTCGTCGTTCTTCCCTTCTGTCGCGTTCTCACGTTCAAGCGTTCTCGAAAGGGCGAAGGAACACAGGATGGTGAAAGGTAACTAACGAGCAGTTAGTTGGAGTATTCACACATTTTTCTTTTTTTTTTTTTTTTTAAAATAACAACTATTTATTTATAGGTAATAATGCTGAATTACAATGAATACACTTTTTTTTTTTTTTTTTGCCTCGATACTAGATTGTATAAGTCCGATCGCGAAATCGTCATCGCTCGTCGTCATCACGTATTACACAGTAGTGCGGTGATACTGGTTTATTTTATTTTATTTTTTTTTTCTTTCCCCACCCGACCCCCCGACCCACGAGTTTTTTTCCCCTGTACGCAACCCGCCCCGTATACCCACCCCGTTTCCTGCGTATATCGTTATTATTATTATTATTCTTATTTATTTTTTTTTGTTCTCTCTCGCTTCCCTCGCGAATGAATTCAACCCGATCTCGCCGATCGAGAATCGCCGATCCTCGAATCTTTTCCTTTCTTTTTTTTTTTCTTTTTGCTACCCATCGTCCTCGCCCTCGAGCAGTGAGAGACCAAGTATTTCTCGTTCTCTCGAATCGCACAGACAATTTTTTTCTTTCTTTCTTTCTTTCTTTCTTTCCCTTCGAATCGAGTCCTCGAGTCGGCGATTCTCGATCGCGAGACGCAAAATTTCGAACCCCGTTTGTTCGTTCGTTCGTTCGTTCGATCGATCGATCGATCGATCTCTGGTAGTGGCGATGGCAAATACAGATGAGCTATCGGTGGTTAAATTCTCGTTTCACTACGTGTAGCATCGTCTTAACGGGCTTTAGCCGGTACGTACGATCTAGACACTATGATTATGTGAACTTTACAACACAAGAACCTTACGGGCAAAAGACTTTGTACATGGATCTTAAATACGGGGATCGGCCTCGGGGAAATATTGGTCGCGGTTCGATTCTCGGGCGCCCCCCTCCCTCCCCCACCCCTTTCCACCTTCGACCGCGTGTTCGTCCACGTCCCCACCTAGGAAATATTTCGCCGAGCTGCGGCCGATCAACGCAAACGCGGGACACACGCAATATGCATTAGCCTTACTTGTCGACGGTAGTAACTAAGTTTATTTATATAAATAAGGTGTTACGATTCTTTTTTTTTTTTTTTTTTTTTAAAACGCATCCAATAATTTACCGTTTTTTTTTTTTTTTTTTTCCTTTTCATCGTCCTCCGCTTTCTCCCTTTCTCTCTCTCTCTCTCTCTTTCTCTCTCTCTCTCTCGCACGCGCACACTCGGTTTATCGCACGATTCCTCCCATCGAGTCGAAGCGTATATTCTATCGTCCTAAATCGCTAATTCAGCTTCGCCCTCGCGAATCGTCTCTAATTCTCGTCACGATCCCACTAATCGTCCCGTTCTTTCTCTTCAAAAGTCTCTCTCTCTCTCTCGTCATCATTCGCACATTCACGCAATTCCCCTCTCGTTCTATATGATACAGGATAAATCGAGTCGCGGCTCGTCGAATCCCCGACTCTGGTCTAATCGCGGTGTATATAAACGGTGTCCCTCGCTGTTTTCGAACGAGGAAAGTTGAAATCGGAGCGCGTCGACGAGGCCGCGTCGTCTCGAAAAAAAACCGTGCGTTCTCTTCCATTTCTCTTCGCTCGCGCCCCTCCCCCTCCCCCTCCCCCTCCCCGTCGACCGTCGACGATCGAACCTTCGAGCCTGGCACACCGCCCTCGGGGAAATAATATTAATAATAATGATAATAATACTCGAAACCGAGAGGGTGCGCCCGATCGTCGTCCGTACAGCTTAATCACGATTATCTAATTGAAGTCGGTCGATAATTAGGAGATAGGTACCTCTAGGAACGCATGCACGCGCGCACGCACTCTCGAGCAGTCTTTAGAAATATATTTTTTTTTTTTT